ATTGGCAAGTTAATGCTAACAGCTGCCCTCAGATTAGCCCAGAAAAGGGGCCGCTTGCTTCTCTCCTTGGGCCACTCCAGGTAGGTTCGCTTTGCCATGAGAGCCTTCAGCTTGTGGTACCTGGCAGGGATAACGTACGGAGGGATGGGCTCCAGCAGAATGAGGATCAAGCTGTTGGAATTCTCGCTAAATAACTTGTGATGGGCAAAGTACAGCTCATAGTGACACCACTCGCTCTGCACAAAGTTGGGAGACAAGACAAAGATCGACTTGTAGCTCTTCTCAATGCAGTTAATGATGTTCTCCACGATGCTCCTGCCGGGGACAAAGTTCCTCTCGTGCTGGCACAGCTGCACGCAGCCCTCCCCTTTCTCCAGGTTGGGCATCAGCTCGTTCTTCACCCACAACGAGTCGCGCTCGCTGTAGGAGATGAAGGCGTGGAACTGCAGCGCGGCCGCCTGCTCGGCGGGCCGGTTGTGCCGCGCTCTCCGCTTCGTCTGCGTCCAGCGCCAGGTCATGCGCACGTACCACGGCACGTCCAGCGAGATGCACAGAAAGGCCACGGCGGCCACCAGCACCAGCGTCAGCCCCAGAGCTGTCACCAGCAGGAGCGTTGTGCTGCAGGCCAGCTCGCTCAGGTGGAAGTCCTTCAGCTGCCTTCCCCGCAGCTCCTGCGGGTACTCGCACACGTAGGCTGCCGGCCAGCCAAACAGCTTCCCCCCGGACTGCCGCTCCATGCGGATGAAGTCCTGCAGCTCACAGGAGCACTTGAACGGGTTGTGCCCGGCTTGGAGCTCCCTGACCCGCGGGCAGCTCTGGAAGAAGCCAGCAGGTGGGGTGAGGATCAAATTCATCTCTACGTTCAGGAACTCCAGGGACGTAAAGCCGCTGCACACCGGCAGGTCGGCCAGCCTGTTGGACGCCAGGTTCAGCTCTTTCAAGGACTTCAGCTCAGCCATCCCCCTGGGGACACTGGTGATCTGATTTTGTCGTAGGTCCAGTTTTTGGATGTTGACTGGCAAGCACTCAAACACGGAATCTGACAACAGATTTGAGGACAGGTCCAGCTCTGCCAGAGACTCAGCCCATTGGCATTGCATATCAGCTCCGTCGTGGCTCAGCAGGTTGCTGCTCATGTCCAGATATTGCAGTGATCTCATATGGCTGGTCATGGAGCTCACCTTGGAAAGGGTCTCAAATTTATTC